ATACTACAACCTTCTTCGGAGTCTTTTATTTTGTTCCTTCGCGCGTTTATTACTTTTAATTCTTTTAATACTTTTTTTACCTAACCCAAGACGGCCAAGAGTGAAAAAAAATTCTGGTGAAAAAAGAAACCCTGATAAATAAAAAGCCTAAAAACACGCCAAAAATAACCCAAACATCTGCTTGGAGAGTATCAAAAGGCGAGATGTATCAAAACATCTGCTTGGAGAGTATCAAAAGGCGAGATGTATCAAAAGGCGAGATGTGTGGACCTCTCCAAGCAGATGTTTGGGTTATTTTTGGCGTGTTTTTAGGCTTTTTATTTATCAGGATTTCTTTTAACGGATAAATGGATGAGGAAGCTAAAAAAAGTGGCACTGATGACATCATTATGACGTCTTCCGCGATGTATTAGCTGCAATAGTGAGGACATCAGAAACGTGCACTACGTACAACAGCTATATTGAGAACACTTGATGTTGTTTGTCAACTGTGCGGTAATATGTACATAAAGCCCCGTTACCACATCTTCCGCGATGCATGGACTGTTACCTGAGTAGCGTCAGATCCAGGAGCTATAAAAGGGGCCCTTTATGTTACAAATAGGTAAGTAATTAATGTATAGAAAGCCTCACTGTTACTGCTCGCTCTTTAGGAAGAGCTTTAGAAAAAATATTGTCAGTCTCCACTCAAATAGGTCCGTTTGATGTTTGGATTATGGGAAAGTATCTTTGAAACCAAACAGACTGAGAATACAGGTCATCCAGAAATATTCATCAATTGAATACATACGAGCTCTATATTCGTAATTTCGAAAAAGTTACAGTCAACGTTTGACTTCGTTCCTTAGCACAGGAGAATATGTACCTTTTAAATATGTAACTTACGGATAAAGTTATTACTAGAACTTCTCTGAATGCATAAGCAATGTGGATTTGTCTGTGTTGTAGAGAAGTGCACTTAGACGGATGTATCGATTGCAAACACTTCAGTTGACATATATGAGATGAAGCCATGCATTCAAATAAGATTCCCATAGACAACATGCATGTAATTTGATTTACACACTCCCAGGTTCCAAGCAAGAAGCAAATCCTGTAATTCCTGTACTGTTTACTGTCATGGCACACGGCGTCTTCCGCCACTTACGTCTCCCGCCATTAGGCCACACTGATTTAGGCCCGATTCACACGATGAAAAATAAAAGTGTCGGGCGTCGTTCGACGCGCGCGCGCGCCAAGTCGCCTACGACACTTTCCCGTTTACACACAGGGACCGCAGCTCCCGCTTCGCGGCGCAGTTGTGGCGGGCTGTGGCAGTCTGCGTCGCGCTAATTTCATGGATGACATCCGCGCGGGCATTGATGCATTGATTTTTGCCTGTTCTAACAAAATCACTTCCTCCGATCGAGACTCTGACCTGGATGGCATCCAGGCTACCAAAGCTCCTCAAGAACTCAGTACGTATACAGTGCCGACTCATAAATGCCGCAAAAGCCCAGCATGTGGCGGCTTGTCGTAATTTTTAGTAACTTAAAAGTCGCTATGTAACACCGCAAATTCACAACACTAGTTTTGTATTCCTGTACTGGTTTAGCACTGCAGCATCTTTTTGGCTGGAATTTCTTTTTTATTCGTACTAGTTTGGGGGTCTTTAGAGGATGCCATCCATAAAATTAAGTCAGTGTGGCCTAATACACAACATTGGCGTGCAGGACCGACGGCCATATTTGGCTATATTCTTCGAAAACGCCCAGCGGTTTAAAGGACTCGGCCGCGTGTATGATTGAACCGTGCACTGGCACGCGTGCATGGAATTTAGATTTTGAAGAAGTTAGCATTAGATCTGGTGGTTTGTATGTGTGTAGGTGGAGTAGTAGATTTCCCTTGGTGCCCTATTACCGCACTGAAAACCAAAACAACGGGGCGAATTAAACTGATCATGATAACAGCCTATGGAATCGTACTAACCTGGGCTTCGTTAAGACTTCACTCACGTCACGAGACAATAAGCACCTGACCCTGTACATACCATTTTCATCCTTTTTTTTAGAATCTTTATACTCTTTATACTTTATATTCTGGCCCTGAAAGCGATACAACTACTATTTCGTCAGAGATGGCAGACTTCACCCCTTACTCATGCTACAAGTCCTAATCTAAGTACCGTAAGTTCCATGCTCATTTCATCACGGTCCAATTTTTATGGATAACTTTATTGCATAAGTACATATTAAGTAGTAGTGATTGGGCGTGGTTGGCATGTTGGAATAAAAAAATACTTAGCTTGCTATAGAGCGAGAAAGAAGGTGAGGGCCGGTGCCGGTGAGAAGGAAGGCGCGGTGCCAGTGCCTGCCCAGCGGCGGCTGCTGACATCCCGGGGCGCCACATCGCAACAGTAATCACTCTAAAGTGGTTTGGGGAGATTTTGGTCGTCGTCTCCATGGCAATATAGTGATGGCAAAACAGCTTCACACCGCTCGAAATGTCAGATTCATTTGATTTGACCACATCAATTCACACCATCTCAACCACCTGGCGCCCCTGCTGCTATGCCACGGCCGCGGGCGCCTTTCCCGCCACAGACAGCTGGTGTCGCTAACGAGAGAAAATTGTTTTTACAGAACCCGCATCACATGCATGGTCCGCGTGACTTCTGCAGCTTTTTTTTCATTCCAACATCTTTTACAAGACATGGTGACGGTACACACTTAAGTTTTTTCAATTCAAACTTATTTTCATATCGCCACCAACGCAGACAAACGTATGAACGAGCAATAGACATATTCATTTTCACCCCGAGTAAAGTGAGGAAATTCGTGTAAAGTGCCTTAATTTTTCCCAAGGGCACAAGATCAGTGGCATGTCAGGGTTCGAACCCGGGACCAACTTAGTTCCGAGTCGAACTCTTCACCGTTACGCCACTCTACCACACTCTAAGCTTGGTATCCAAATGTCTGAAAACGAAAGAAGATATATCTGATGAAGACTTTTGTTTATTTTGTTGTTACGTGGTTGCCTAGTGATTACATTCACAGTACAGACCCCCTT